ATTAATTTAAAATTCTTTTAATTAATATATTATATTGTTTTAGTTTTTTTCTTTATTATATTATTTATAGGCGAATGATCGTGTAAGAATGATATTTATGGTGAGAAACATAAGAATGAATATATACTCTTGATCACCTTTAATTTCAAACTCACCCATGAATTGTGTTTGATACAGGGATTGATCTGGTCCATCTCGGTACATCTCATCCCAATATGCATCCAAGGGTGAAGATCATTTCTTTTGTTTCTCACCTTAATTTTCCTTCTCATTGGAACCCAACCCCTTGTTTAATAATATTTGTTTTAGTTACATTATAAAATATAGGAAAGGTTCAGTTGAGAAGTGAGAAGTATTTGAAAGATAAAGAAATGATTCTAACCTTTCATCTGGTCAACATTTGGGGCTTCGATTGTGAAACATGGAATAATTCCTCACATGAGCGGAAGATAGAGCGGCAATTTTCTTAACTTTTACAAATAGGCGACAAAAGAGTTCATATGCAAATTACACGTGTTCATATGTGAATCAGTTAAAATAGTTCATATATGAATTATACGAGTTCACATATGAACATATAGTTCATATGTGGATCACACGGGCTCACATATAAACTCGTTTGCCGTTTATTTGTAAAAGTTACAAAACTACTCCCTCTATTTTTTGTATAGTTATAAACTTGACCAATCAAAGTATGATAACCAGGTTATTTTGTTAGATTGATTGTGGTTGTTTTTTAAAAGAGATGGTAAGTGGGGGTTTAATGTGTTAATGTGCTTAAAATGTTTTTAAACTCCCATCACCTCATTATTTTAAATAGTATTATTATGAGTTAATGGTCTTTATCTTTTTGGGAGGTGGAAAAAAAGTAAGTACGAAGGATAAGAAAGATTTTATTTGTGTGTGTTCTCTTGGGTGAAAAGTAAACAAACCTGTAAGGGAGAAGAAGAAAACTGATTATGTGATTTCTACTTGAAATTTGTTGTTGTGTTAATTCATCTTCATCTACGTAAACATAGGGTGAGTTTAAATTTATCAACTTTCCTTATTTGGTATTTTAAATTTGAACCGTATGGTTCCTACATGAGAATGATGATAAAACTGTTTATGGATGCTATTTTAGCATTATGATGAGACTGGGTATAGAACCGTACGGTTCTTTATATGAGTTACTATTATGAAACGCTTTTGATGCCATTATTGGCAAAATGGTAGTTTTTGTCATGATTATATCATGTGTGGAAATAAAAGTGACATATCAATGAGCTAGGTATTATTTCGTAATAAGGGTGACATAACCAGAAGCTGGGTATTATTTTGTAATAAGAGTGACATCATCAAGAGTTGAATATATTCTTTTAATAAGGGTGACATAATAATGAGCCGGGTATATCGGGTTAAAGGAGGCATAATCAATTTATGGGAATGATGATCTTTTTGATCATGGGGGTTTGTTATCACATTCTTATAATGCGATACCTTGAGTTATCACATTTGTGTGATGCGAGGATTTGAGTTGTCGTATCCTATTGATGAAATAAAGTGAACTTGTTTTTAGACCAGAGGGCTTCTGATTGATCAGAGGGGCTCTGGTTGTTCATTTGAACCTTAGAATAATCATCCAGACCCATGGAAAGATAATCTTTATCGCAAATAGGTTGTTATAGGATCAATATTATCCCCTCGTTTAGAGTTAGAATAACTCTGAACTCAAGGTCTTCAGGCTTCGTCTTCAGATTTGATAGTTAGCGCTTGTCAGGTTTTCTCTCGAAATAACTCTGAAGAATATATCTTCAGACTTGCACTTATGCGCTTGAGCTCACCCGAACTTTGAAGTCTTCTTTTTTAGATCTCTGAAGATAAGTCTGAAGTCTTGTTTTTCAGATCTCTGAAGACAAGTCTGAAGACTTGTTTTTCCGATTTCTGAAAATAAATCTGCAGATTTCCATACTTGGCACAAATTGCTTTAGTAAAATCTTCATGATATTTAGGACAATTTTGATCCTGACAGCTAGTATTACAAATATGGATTTGTAAACTTGATTTGGTGATTTTCACCCTGTATTTGCACTAGACCTCAAAGTCTAACCCTCATTTTATGTTTAAAAAATGTGCATTACAGGTCGGCTTTAATCTGAGGAAAAAGGAAAAGGGAAATTGTGAGATGTCTTGTATGCTTACATGAGATGTAGAGGACATCATGTTTATCTGTGGTCTTTTTGAAATACTTGTTATATATATACAAGTTTTGTATATGGATTTTATAGAAAAATATGTTAGCTACTTTTATAATGTAGTTTTTGTATATTTGGGACTGAATATGTAAATTTATATTTCTTGATATATGAAATATTTGTTAAAGCCTCAATTTTTGATCAGTCATATCTGATCTTTTTTTTTTTTTTTTGTAAGGGTGTCCGGGCCAAAGCCCGACTAATCCCCGGCAAATTTGGAGGCTAAACATGGCCATACTTAAATGTCACTAACACTCCTCTCCCAGGGCTCGAACTCGGGTTCATGACTATGCCATGCCCAAGTCTTTACCACTAAGCTGGAAGGTCTTTGACGTCATATCTGATCTTGACTGCATGAAGGATCAAAATCACTTCTCAAAATAACCTATATCTGCAAAACATTATATAAAGTTTTTAAATATCATTTTTAATTATTTTACATCTTTATAAACTAATTAATTTTTACTATATATAGTTTGATAATCAACTAAGCTGTTTGACACTTGCAGAATGGTTTGATACATAATGATTAAGTTGTCAGAATGATTAAGAAACTCTTATTAAATAGTATAAAATGAAATAGATTATTCAGTAATTATTTACAATGCAATTAAGGTGTTGAATGGTTAAGGGATACCTATGATACAAAATCATTCAAAAGATTTTAGAACCATTTAAAAACATACATTTTTTTACCAAATAAAATTTATTTTTTAACGATTCAGAAATTACTTCTTAATAAAATTATTAAAAGGTGAACAAAGAACCGTTATTAATTTAGTAAACATCAACTAGTTTATTAGTATTTGATAAACGTAGCCAATAGTCATAGACTGTGGAGCAGCGTCCCTCCAGGTGAAGATGGTTCCACTGTTTGATGACTGTTTTCCTTTTGTTCAACGTCAAAGAAGCTCCACGTGTCAGTATATGATAGCACCACCTCATCTGGTGGTCACATAACCCACAAGAAACACGATGCCGCAATCTACCGTCAAAGACTTCCTGCTCACGAAAATATCTATTATTATGGGAAGAGATATATAGAGCTATGCTATTCTCTTGTCCTCTTTCTTCAATACATTACATCTCTAAATCCATCTTCTCTGTGATTTCAAGAAAACCCTATTTCTCCACCATGTCTATACACCTCAAATCTCCGGTCTTTGCTGGTAACCCCATAAGATCCAAAACCCCCAAATCAATCGATCCCTTTTCACCCGCATCAGCCTTTCAAACCCTAAAGGTTCTTCTTTCTGGCCAATCCCATTTACAAGAACCATCCTCCCCTAAATTCCAGGTGCTCCCTTTCAGAAAGGGCAGACCTTTAGCTGGCTCAACTGGCGATTTGGTCAAGAAATGGCATCTGGGGTGGTTGACTTTTGCTGATTTTAAGGATGTTTTGGAAGGCACTGAGGTAAAATTGAGTGATGATTTGTTGGTGTATTTGGGTTGCAAGACTGAAAAAGGAGAAGAAGAAGAAGAAGAAGATAATGTTGTGTATTGGGCAATCGATGTTTCTCAAGGGATTAGTTTGGTGGAGAAATTGGGGAGCAGACAGCTTACTTTTGTTGAGTTGAGGACTTTGATGGTGGCTACTGATTGGGCAGATGATGCTGCTATGGGTGAACTTGCTATTGCTGGTCATGTAAGTTTGCCATATATACTTTTGAATTTGAACTTTTATCTCTTTACTTCAAGAAATAGTATGCAGAATTGAATTACAAACATGGGGTTTGTGGTGAATTATAATGCAGCATCATGATATAATTTGATTATTGAATTCAAGTTCTCCAACTAAAACCAATTGGATAAGAGTGGATATTGAGGCCTAAACCATTTGGTGTTTCAATTGAAAGCCAAATGATTAATAGAACACTCGAAACAAATTGCCCAAAATGGATGTGGCAAAAAGGGTTGTATATGTTGAATATGGAATATATTTACGCGATGAGTTACTGTCGTTTCTTGATAATACCGCCCCTTCGTGGGGTTTGATAGCATAATGAATACCGGGTGTCTGGTGTCCCAACCAAAAACGAATTCGCTGAGAATGCATGAGATTGAGGACTATATATGTTGAACAACATTGAGCCTTACTTGATTTGGAAATAGGTATCAATCTTGTTGCTTCATGCATCTATAGAAAATAAAAGAGAGAGATTTAGTCTCTTTGATGCTTTTAGGATGTAAAATGATGCATAACCATTTGTTGATTCTCGATTGCTAGATTTGACCACTTACGTATTCACGATCAAACTATTATTTCCATTTATTCATCAAAAGGAAGCACGAGGAAATCACATTGATCAAATATTTCAATTTTCCTCAGACATATGGATGATTTATACCAAAATTTCATTGGCAAACCTTAGTATAACACGCTGTTGTGTTGTATGATGCGCTGCCACTGCCCCTGTTCGTCTCTATATAGTTTTCAGTATGTTTCTTGAAGGCCAAAGATAGATGCTTTTGAAGTCTTTATACCCAGATGCTCATTTCACATTAACATTAACGCCTGCTTCTAACTTGACTTTCTTGAAAATATATGATATAAACTCTAAAACTTCATGTTACCAATTGTTGGGATGTTTATGTAGGCGAGAGCATTACTGGAATGGCATAATACATCTCGTTTTTGTGGATCTTGTGGTGAAATGTTGGTTCCCACTGAAGCTGGGACAAGAAAACAATGTATAAAGGATTCTTGTAAGAAAAGAATCTACCCTCGAGTTGATCCGGTATGCTAACTGATCCTACACATGTTCTTCTTTCACTCGGGGTGGTTGTTAGTGATATCTAAGAATTTACTTCTATTTCTCACGATTTCATTAATGCAACAGGTTGTCATTATGTTGGTCATTGACAAAGAGAATGATTGCGCACTTCTTAGTAAAAACACGAGATTTGTGCCAAGAATGTGGAGTTGCCTTGCCGGCTTTATAGAGGTATGTCCTTGCACATGTTGATGACTCCCTTGTTCAGAAAATTCAGCGCTTGCACCGTTACAATAACCTTTTGCTAGCTTTATTTTAGTAGAAAAGAAGAAGATGAAAAGAAGGTGTGGAAAAAAGAACTTTACCTAAAAGAAAAAAATATCAGGGTCATCTATCTAAAATATAACTGGCGTAATTGGAAAAAAGCGAAAAAACCCCAATACGCTGTCTGAATTTCAAAAAGCTAGTGAATGGCTTACTAAACGTGGCTCTTTCAGTAAGTTCAAAAAATAAGCTAGCTTATGGTTGCCAAACATGACCATATGACTTTTGAATTCCTTTTGTTGCAAATTTAGAAGCATTTTTGTTATTATTGATCTGTTTATCGTCCTCCTTTCCTAAAAAAATACAAGGAATCTGTATATCAAGTAGTGTGCTTTAAGTAGAAATTAATTACGTTCTTAGTTATTGATTTACTTTCCCTTTCTTAGCCAGGAGAAAGCTTGGAAGAGGCCGTGAGAAGAGAAACATGGGAGGAAACCGGCATCCAAGTTGGTGAAGTAGTCTATCATAGTTCTCAACCATGGCCCGGTGAGGCCTACATTCACGCTATCGTTTTTCCTATATATTTTCTAATGCTTTGCAAGAATCCTTTGGATTTCCATATTAAAACCAACTTGCAATGAGAGGTATTACCACCAAATCATATAATATTTGTGAAATATGTGGAACCCGTTTGAATCTCTCTCTAAAGGAGCCAATGGGAGGTTCATACATGTATGTAGGTTTGATGGTCCATGTCTAGCTGATGTTGGACTACAACACACACTCGAGAACGGAGACAAAAGAATGTGTTGAGTCCCCAGATGTTGTAGACCTTGTGTCTTATAATATGTGTGAATATGTGGAACCCTTTTGAATCTCTTTCTAGAAGAGCCCTTACAGAAAGATGAAAGATTCCTATATTAGCCGATGTGGGACCCCAGTATAACTAACGTGGGACTTGTAAGCTTAATATGCTCCCACATGTGTAGCTAAGGGCCTATTTGTTAGCAGCTTAACGAGCTTAATGGGAATCACAACTTATTCGGTCAGCTATACATGACTTTTTGGTAGTGGCTTAATGATATAGAAAGTGGCTTATTTAGTATGCTTCTAGGGGGGAGCTTTATGCAGAAAGCCAAGTTTTTTTCAAACCTGCTCTTCCCAATTAAATACACATTCCTTCCTCTATGAAAAAACCCTTCCAAACAAAACCCTTCCCAATCTATATAGAAAGATTAATCCAAACAGACAACTTTATCCAGGAAAACCAACCAAACAGCCCCCAAGACTAAAGGCCATTGAAGCTAACACATGTATTGTAAAGAATCCCGTTCAGCTTAGATATGTTGTAAATACTTTTTTGGGGTTTAATTTCGAAACCGTTGGTAATTTGAAGGGTTTACCTTCATGTGATTCATTTGCAGTTGGACCTAGTAGCATGCCGTGCCAATTAATGATTGGTTTTCTTGCATATGCGACATCGGTTGAAATAAATGTGGACAAGAGAGAATTGGAAGGTAACCTTTGATCTACAATTCCTAATACTGTTCTACAATAAATGTTCTGTTGGAATTTTGTTTGATATGCTAAAACACCATTTCTGAATTGGTATAAATGCTTGATATTTTGAATTTTACGCAGATGCCAAATGGTACAGTAGAGAAGAGGTGAAGAAAGCGTTGACATTTGCCGAATACGAAAAAGCGCAAAGAACATCCGCGTACAAAGTAGATCAAATGTGCAAAGGGGTGGAGAAAGGTCAAAGTCTTGCTGCGGATTTCAACGTGGAAAGCGGGGAACTAGCAACCATGTTCGTCCCTGGACCTTTTGCGATCGCCCACCATCTAATCTCTTCGTGGGCTCATCAGGTCAGCGAAAATGGCATTTCGACACAAACGAAAGGTGTTGTTTCGAGATTGTAGTGATCGATTTCATTTTCTTGATTATTTCCCAGGTTTGATCTTGAAATCCTTCCATGGTGATGATGCTGATAAGCAGTTTTTGATCTTGAAATCTTCACAAGTGCTCAAGAAGAAAATACTTGTTTTTGGGATTTGAGTTGTACCATTTATGTGGAATTCAATCTTTATATATATATTGTTGATAAATAAATTACAGATTTCATACATCTTGATTTGTGGTTTCTAATACAAGAAAAAAAGGATGCATTCCTGTAAAGATTCTGGTACAAGAAGTATGGTCATCAGTGCATAGACATGTTGTACATTGTGCTAGTAATCATGTACGGCCGGTCCAACTGTTTACCTGGCTCAAGATCTGCGTCCGTTTAACTTTTTTTTAGGAACCAGACAATTTCTTAGACTACATCCTGACAAATTGGGGCCGTCTAAAACTAAGTCTGGCCACATGACGTTAACGTCTGGACTTGAACTCGGGGTTGATGAGATATTCCACCACATCCTCCTATGTCTTTTGCCAACACGCCACCACCCTTGTGGTTATCTGTCCATTTAACTTGTTACTATAGGATTGATCTCAATCGAGGGTACGTTTTGGTATGTGCATGGGATTTGATGGGATGTTATGAAGAATTCTGAGTCGTTTTAGGGTTTTAATTTGATATGGATAGTTTAGTTATATATTGATACTGTTGTCTCGGCTACCTTATTTTACATTTTAGTTTAAGATTTTGTATTATCAACTGAAAAAAGAATTATTGTTTGTGTTAAATTTTAAATTTTTTTGTTAATTTTTTTTTGATTAACCCGGATATCCAACCCGCTATGCGAGCCGACTAATCCCAGACGATCACCTGCTTTGCAGATAGCTCGGAGTCACCGCATCTGAACCTCCGTGGCCACAAGGAAATTTTTATTCCTCCTTGGATTTAAACCTGAGACCTCCTGGTACTTTTGATCTTTGAAGCTAAACTCAAACCAATCAAATACCAAACTTTGGGTTAAAGATTTGATTGTATCCTCAAGAGATGCCTTCGTATCAAATTTATTAAAAAGAATATTACATTATGACAAAAATGAAAATAACTGGAGGATGACACGTATGAGATCCACGAAACTTACGGTGGACCACACCAGAAACGGGAATTATTTGTCGTATGCTTCTTCTGGCATGAAAGTCTGAAAAGAACTCAACTAAAACCCTGAAAATCTCACTTCCCATCTCTCGATCGCCATATTTGAAGATGTCGATCTTCTTCAAGAGACTGCTAAGCAATGCTGCACCCATCACATTTTCGCATGCATTTCGACGCCAATCGCAATCAACTTCAACCAATTTTCGAATTCCATTTGGAGTAGTTGCTGCTATCTCTGGTGGAATATCGTATTTTTATTACTTTTCTGAGCCGAATTTGGTAATTTATGCATTCTCTTGTACTTTTCCATTTAGAAATGTACAAAATGCGATGTTGCGTGATTATATCTTATCATTGTGTGAATCAATGAGATATTGGTGTTTGGCAAAAGTTGGATCATTAGCAAAATTTCGCCTAATCTAAGTTGCTATGAAAGAGGAAAAGACGTAATTCATAACCAGAATCGTCACCATAAGATTCCAGAAATGTTATACAACTTATCCTGCCGGTTTATGACTCCAGAAATGCTAAAAAATAAACTATAATCTAGATCAAAGGTGCAAAAGAACCCACTTAACTCAAGGAGCACCAAAGCTTGTTTTGATAGATATCTGTTTTTATTCTCACCAAAGGGTGTATGTGTAGAATGTTACTTATTTAGCTAACACTTGCTCGTAATGAACTGAAACAATGCTCACTGAACCAATGGCATGCTAGTATTCCTTGAAGTCAGTTAAATTGTGCAGGTTTTGCAAGTTGACAATTGAAATAATCACAAATGATCAATCTTGGTGCGCCAAGACTGCTCAACTTTGCCAAGTTTTTGTATTTAATGTTACGTTCTGCAAAGATGTCGTTTTCATGATTTGAACAAGTGATGTTTGCTGAAGTAGTATTTGTCTCATATCACTAGGTTGTTAAATATATGTATATATCTATAGTTTAACTCAAGAAGAAAACACTCCCCATGAGACCGGGGTTTGAGGTTGTCATATCACTTTCACCTGATATCTTGTTTGAATTCTAAGGCCCTCTATATGCTCCCAGGGAACCCTCCTTTGAGTTGGCTTTTGGGAGTGAGTTCTACCCAAATCCATTTATCATGGTATCAGAAAGGCTTACAGGTGAAGCAGTGTGTTGAAGTAGTATTTGTCTCAACATTCAGGTCACAAAGGAATAACTTACTTGGATACCATGAGTTAAGCTACCACATTGAGCACTTAGTTAAATCTGAATAACATGATTTGGCATTATATCTCAGAAATCACCCATATAGAGAGTACCCCATTATTGTCCTGCTCTCTTGCTCAATAACTTCCTTAGATAAATCTGGTTTCTTCGTATGCTTGAAAATTTCGTCCTATTTTTTCGTTTGCATATGTTGTCTTTACTCAAGGCTAATCCTATTTATATATTTAAGTCCTACAATTTTTTACATCTATATCATTTATTACTTTGAATATCTATCATATTATCGATTCCAATATAAGATTGTGCAGCGATTATTCGTTTTTGACAGGTTCATTTAGATCATCAGATCTGTGAGGAGACAGGTCCAAAAGCTGGTAGGTTTCTTGTTTTAGGTTCTGTCACCTCATCATAACATGTCTTTCATACTCAAGAGTCCTTCCAATACCATTGACATGATGATGTAGTTTAAAGGCGTCCTTTCCGATTCCATATGGTTCTTTCATTTTGGATTTTTATGGTACTCACTTCTGTCTAAAACAAAAACGAGGCTTTCCTTTTTAGGATGTACCTTACAGTTGGTGCATGACATGCCATTCTCTTTGTCAAGTAAAAGTAAACAAGTTCGTTTTACTCTCTATTACTTAACTTCTATAATTGCATGATTTTCTCAATTGTATATTCACTTTATGTTACTTATCTAATCATTGGCATCTCGGTTAATTATGTGAACCTAAACGAGTAATTCAGTTATGGCCCATGGGTCGAACCATTTCCTAATAGTAAAATATAGCTCATAGTTCTAGCATCCGGCATGTGTTGTGGAACTCAAAAGGTCTTCCGGATAATTTATTTTGTGATGGTGGGAGATCTAAGTATCTCATGTAAGGTTAATGTAATATGCCATGATAATCTCAGTTTTAGGCCACTCCAAGTATTATTGTTAGCAATCCTTCCTGTGAAAATATGTGAAACCTCAGATTAATCTCCAAAAGAGCCCTTGAGGAGAGAAGGGAGGTTCCAACATATTTCGAGGGGAATTTTTAAAAGTCTAGCCGATGTGGACTCTTAACACTTCCAAGTTCCAAAACAGTAAGACCAATGTTTTTCTATTATGACCTTGAGTATCTTAGCATTTCGAAGAAATAATTTGGACAATTTAATCGCATTTTTTATTTAGATTTGTTAAAAGTAGAGCCCAAAATCTATGCAATATGACTACTACTTCCTCCTTCGTCCTCCCTCTTGTAGCACATGATAGTGCATACTTAACTTTTTTCACTTTTGCTAATTGTTTTTTGATTCTAAAGGCAAGTAGAAGACTAGATGCCTTGCTCATTTTGCTACATCTTTAGTGACAGAAAGTATTATCTCTAGTGATGTTTTTGCGTATTCTCAGCTCTTCATCCTAAAAAATGGGAAGAGTTTAAGTTGCAAGAGAAGGCAACGGTCAGCCACAATACACATATATACAGGTTTTATGTTCATACACTAAAGTTACACTTTGATTTATACTGAATGCATTTTTTGCTTCCTCTCTTTGATTGGTTAAATTGACATATGAAAGAATGTGTTTTATTACTGGAATTTCGCAAATCATAAGGGATCATATCATGTTAGCTCTTTCCATTGATGCAAAATTCATTTGTATATGAATTGCATGACATAAATGAACATCAATCCCCCATTACCCCCATTAACATGTGGGAAAATGTTGTGAGATTGGGATGGCATATGAGGATTGTCTTCACATGATCTAATCTTTACAACAGGCTTTAGTTGTCTAGCCACTTACACAAGAGCATAAAACTTTGTTAGAATGATGGAGTTTCCGCTCTCCAATACGGTACCAATTTATTATGTGAACGACTCATGAAGTTTAAATTATCCACATGCATGGTGGATCAATACATGGGAAAACCTTAATAGTAAACTTTTATGAAGCCTTGGCTACTAAATCCTATTTCACGTTAATTTATGTTATCGTACTTGGGATTCAAAGCAGTGTGGCTTGGATTTATCTTTCAACGCGGTTGAAAAATCAGTGTTCCCGTAATTCAGACGTTCATTTCTGGAGTAATTTTTTCTATCCTTGATAATTGCAGGTTTTCTTTTGATCCTAATCTGAAGCTGGGGCTCGATGTGGCATCGTGCCTCATTACAAGGCAAGTTCATGAATATCTTAATTAACTCATGTTTGTAAAGTTAGATTCAGGTTATTGAACTCCGTTTGTTAGAGAGTTTCCAAGAGACTTATATGGTAATGCATATGTTTGGCACCTTAATAAATAATAATGTGTCGTATACATGTGTTGTAGGGCTCCATTGGGGAAAGATGCTGAAGGGAAAACAAAATATGTTATTCGCCCGTAAGTTTCCTGTTAAAACCAGGCATGCTACGTTTCATATCCGTATATTACTTTTACGGTTGCTTGGTTTGGGTGTCTATCTCAACCCCCAGACTCTACTTTTAAATGGGATATATTGGTTTGGTTTGCTTTTTGGACATCATGTAATTCTAAGAAAAACACATCAAAATTACAAGGGACCGTCTTCCTTGATATTACCTTGTCTTGGCATTTCTATTGTCAGGTATACCCCTGTATCTGATCCAGATTCAAAAGGTTACTTTGATTTGATGATCAAGGTATGCTTACTACCACTGCTTTGCATTCTTCATGTTATATATATTTTATGCATGTTTATGTCATGATTTTTTCCAGGTTTATCCTGAAGGGAAAATGAGTCAGCATTTCGCAAAATTAAAGCCAGGCGATATCGTTGAAGTAAAAGGGTAAACCATTTACTTAAGCTAGTACTATGCCTGCAATCAGATCATGTATCTACTTACGACTGACGAATATACACCTTGTTGATTGTAGTTTGCTTTTTTGTTTCTTTTGATTTGTGTTCTACAAGACGCTGGGTTTTTTGGAAACAACCTATCTACCCCTTGGGGTAGATGAAAGGCTATGTACATCCTACCCCTCCGGGATCTCTTGGGTTTGTTTGGTTTTGGTTTTTACTTACAACTGACCGAGTGGATCATATCCAGCCCCATTGAGAAGGTCAGATACACTCCCAATATGAAGAAACACATTGGCATGGTATGTGTGGCTGTTACATTCCTACGACACATACATACATGGACATATGATGTTTTATGGAGATGGCGTAAGAGGATCTTGTTCGTCTTAGATTGCAGGTGGCTCAGGAATCACTCCAATGCTTCAGGTTATCGAGACTATTCTTAAGAATCCAGATGACAATACGAAAGTAAGGACATCCATCATTTATTGTCTTCTTTTATAATTTTGTGAACTATTGATCATTCTACGTGACTGAAGATCACCCGAACCCAAATACTTCTACCAACAATATATTGGTTGATTGGTATATTTTAGAATTAGGTGTTAACGTCCATTGTTTCTTAAGGTGTGGGCTCAGAACCTGTGACAATTCTCCTTCCTATTCTCTACTTTTGTGATTCCTGTATCTTAACCAAACCAAATGTACCCAATGAAGTTATATTTGACTGTATTAACTTCTCGTAATCCTATCTGCAAAGTCAAGAACCAATTTCATCTCGAAGTAGGCTCATTTGTTTGTTTTTTAGGTATCTTTGGTTTATGCAAATATATCGCCTGATGACATCCTTCTCAAAAAGAGACTCGACATGCTTGCAGCTAGCCACCCCAACTTAAAGGTACCAAATTTTCTCAAATAAAATTCTGGGTATTTGGAGTGGTACGTTCTTCTGAACTTATTTTCCGAAACTCCAGGTGTTTTACACCGTTGATAATCCATCCAAGTACTGGGTTGGAGGTACAGGCTATATATCAAAGGATATGGCTTCCAAAGGCTTGCCTGCCCCAAGCAACCACACCCTTATACTTGTAAGCTCATGTCCCTTAAATTCCACTGAGAATCGAGTGTATAGGTTGTTCAAATTGTTTTGGATTGCAGGTTTGTGGCCCGCCGGGAATGATGAAACATATATCCGGTGACAAGGCAGAAGACCGATCACAAGGCAAGGTGTGTGTATATCCTACCTCGGTGTGGATTTATTGGGTTCATTTAGTTTTAGTTATACATGTTGATGAACGATAAAAAGATGCCTGATATCGTTTCGCATTGTTGCAGCTAACCGGCATACTCAAAGAACTTGAATACACAGAAGAAATGGTTTACAAATTCTAATTGCCAACAACATCATTGTCACCAATTTATTTTCCATCATTCACAGAACATTTGGTAAACAATTATATTTCATTGGATTATAATGGTAATTTTTTGTTGTTGGAACACTTGGTAAATACTAAATAGTTTTTTTCTTTTTCCAGACATTGCTACCAACAATCGTTGATCAAATCCGACCTCTTAACAAATCAGACATAAAATAACATATAGCAGAGATCACATTAATGAAAGGAAGTTTCTTGAAGAGCCGAGCTTTGACCGCCAATTTGACTAAATTAGTTTAAAGACTGGTCAAGCCCCCAAAGTTTACACATTTAAAAGGTTTTTCCAAATATAATAAAAAGATATTTGATATTTTATTTTCGTAATCAGGAAAACTTTAGGGGTGTTTGGGATTGCTTATAAAAACAATTTATTGATTTGTTCCGGTGTGGCAACGGTAATAAACACTTTTGAGTGTTTGAATAAACGACTTATACCGGTGTCAAACCGGTAATAAGGAGTTTTAAAGAAGTAAAACCCTTCTGACTTATAATAAGTTGATAAGTCCTTTTGCATAAAAGTCACATATTTCATATAACATGAAATACAAATATTACATACCGGTCCCAAATGTACACATTGCTACATACAAAAGTAGCTAGACGCTTTTTGCTTCTCACAAAGTACATGACTTGAATAATACAACTTCACAAGTGCATGTATAAATTCAGCTTACAAAAGTTCACATATATAAAGCAATAGCACTTCAATTTACATCTTCTCATCCCCGTTACCTTCCGATTAAAGAGGCAAAAAAAATTTAGTAGATAATAAGAGCTCAAAAATATATCAATTAATTATATTGGAGAAGAAAATAAAAAATTAATTGGTCATTCATTATATAATATTGTTTATTGTCTCTCTAAATTTTTTTTATCTCTAACAAGGTTCAATGATATTGATTATTATTATCTCTATATGTTTGATTGTTTTCGTGTTTCAACAATTTAACGTTAAGATTATGTGTTTGCTATTGCTATATATTTTTGTTGGATGTTTTTATCAATTTATGCTTCTATTGACTATTGCTATTTGGTTATGTAGTTCTAATTGTTTTTGTTGACTATTGTCATCTATTTTTGCATCTACATAAAATATTTATTATTGTTTGACAATTAATCTATTGTTTTTATAATTTATGACGTGTTTCATAGTCTTGTGATTAATCAATAATTTTTTTTCTACTAGATTTATTTAGTATGTATCTTATATATATATATATATATATATATATATATATATATATCATGTTTCATAAATTTTTATTTTTAACATCTTATTTTAGTTGAGAAAAAAAGAAAAAAATAGAATTTAAATATTTTTATTAATTGTTTGACTTGTGTATTTTTCATTATGATTCACCACACTACAAGATTCTATTTTAAGTGCTCAAACAATCATTTGTTGAGCTTGCATATTATATGTTTAATTCATTATTTATTCTTATTGGTTTTTAATGGATCACTTTTTCTTTCATATTTTTATTGATCTTCATTTGTCTACTTGTCTAGAAAACCTTGATAATCTTCTTTATTATTGATCTCTCATTGACCTTCACGATTACTTCATTCACACGAATTCTCTTTTTGTATCAAAATAACATATATTTCTTGTTATGAACTCAAAAAATTCTTATTTTTTATAATTTTTTTTTATCAACCATAGTTTCTATACTCTTGGTTTCAAATTACTTTTTATAAAAAAAATAAGTACGTAAATTTAAGTACTCTCCTATATATCTATAATAAAGATAAATAAGATTTCTTTCCTTAGTAAATTATTAGCATTTTTTGTACTCAATTTTATACTAATGAAAAACATTTATTGAATTTTTTCCGTACTTACCGAGGGTCACTACAAGAAAATGAGCTTTGACGATGCGTTTTTAGCGATGACATGTTTCTGCCACAAAGTTATAACGACATGTTGTTATATACTATTTCTGATGATAAATGGACTTTTTTGTCGTCGCTAAAAGCTTGTTTCTTGCAGTGGACCCCGTTTTTACGTTCACCCAATACCTATAAAATGTCAGGAACGAGCCTGTTATGTAGGAGCCATAAATGTTTTAATCTCTTTTCCATTTCCATTAAAGAGTTATTTATGTGTTTGCACGCTCCTTTGAGACCTCGAAAAATGGACAAATTTCTTTTCTTAGTAACACATACATGATTTTTCACTACAAAAATAATAATGGTACATCTCATTCGTCCTCTTCTCTTAGAAAGAATGGGCGCTTCCGGTTCTGTCGGTGCTTGAAACAATTTTGTCTTCTTCATATTAATATATTGTATACGTACTCAAATTGGACCAATGATCGATTTCTATGTTTCATCATAAACCTTATTGATTACTTGCGGTTACATTAACCAATAAGGAGACACCATTTGCTTCAGCTTTCTTTGTGACCGAATATGCCCCTGCATCCTTTGTTGATGCTTAAAATCTAGATACATAACTTCTTAAAGATACTTGGTTCTTTTACGGAATTTGAAAACAATCTTATCTTAGTTTTGGGTTATAAATTTAGAATACGCGCCAAATGTTGGATTCGCTAAGATAATTAATCAATAAACAAAATCATATGGCATCGGTGGAAATGGAAATGGAAATGGAAATGGAAGTGTTTGATTGAGAACGCGTGAAATGTGTAAATTGAATATTTTGAACGGGTTTATCTTGTCTAAGGAAACAAGCTCATATTAGGGTTTTTAAGTATTCTTTGGGTTGAAAAGGAGGCGGGGGAAGGAAGAATAGTGAAATGACCGATTAGCTCTAGTATGAGACGATGGTTGAACTTTGGGTAGAAGATAACGACATTAGGGGGGAGGATGAAAGCCCAGACAAATTGTACCTTAAAGGGTTTTTTTGTAATAAATGAATCATAAGGATGAAAACCAAAATAATCATTGTACCATAGGCATGTAGTCATGAGAATGGGTCCCGGTCCACCCACCTCAGTCGAGGACGGGGATTCTCTGGTAAATCGGAGATGGGGATGGGTATCGTACTCCTTGCCCCATCCCGTACCCGTTATACATATTAATTAATAAATTATATATATATATATATATATATATATATAGGGAAGGGTTTAAATGAGAACCCTGTGATTTACGAGAATGCGAGAACAACCCAATAACCACATATTGTTATAAAAAAATAAAATTAAAAGATTTTAAAAATAAAATTAAAATTGAAATTTAAAAAAATTCAGAAAATATTAAGATTAAAAAAGTAATAATGGAAATGATATCATAAAATCTTTTAATACGATTACACGATCATGATTATCATTATCTAATAAACGGTTAATCATGTGATATGGGTGTGATAATCATGTGATTATCACACAATTATCACATTATCGCTTATATCAACACGATTTGGTGTGATTTGGGTGTGATAACATGTGATTATCACATAATTATCACAAGGACTCCGCTTGGCTATGGTTAACTTAGAAAATCGACTACCGATTTGATGTGATATGGGTGTGATAATCATGTGATTATCACAAGGATTCCGCTCGGCTAGGGTTAATTAGAAAATCGACTACCGATTTGGTGTGATATGGGTGTGATAATCATGTGATATCACTATCATAACAGCGCACTCGATTTGATAATGGTTTCGATTGGTTAGGACTAGACGATCACACATTTATCACAAGGATTACGGGCAAAATCCACTAAACGATTTGATGTGATATGGGTGTGATAATCATGTGATATCACTATTATAACATCACTTGCGCACTCAATTTGATCGGTTAGGGTTAGACAATCACACATTTATCACAACGATTACTCATGGTTTCATAGGTTATGGTTACACTTGATTGATCATGGTTTCGACATGTTATGGTTACACAATCACACAATTATCACAAGGGGAGAGAAGAGATTAGAAACGAACGTGTAGGAAAAAAAGAAAGATAATTATGACTAATTAAAATAAAATAAAAATTATAAAAATTAATTAATTACATTACTGCCCTTATTAATTTATTTATATTTAATATAAGTTAATTTATTAATTAAAAAGTTTGAGTTTATTAGATTGTTCTTGCGTTCTCGTAAATCATAGGGGTTCTCGTTTGAACCTCCACCTATATATATATATATATATATATATATATGGTATTTCAACTAAAATGGTAATTCATAATTTCTTACTTCCTAACTAGGTTTATAATATAAAATTGTTATTTTTTTGGATGTTAATATGAAATTTTTTGGATGTCAAGTCAAAATACAATTACTTGATAAGTTTTGTATATTACTCAATATCTTTTGATACATGTGACTTTAAGTTTTTTTTTTGGATTAAATCGATTTTTTTCGTTTTAGGTTATTAATTCTTATATCATGTTGTGGTTTTTTTGTATTAAGTTAAATTCATTGTGGTTTTAGGTTTATTGAAAATGTTTGAGATTTAAACATATATCATCTCTCACATATTTAATTTTAAATAACTTGCATAAACAGAAAAAAAAATTTCCCCAGAATGGAGATATGATTATATTCCTCAACGAGGATGGGGACAGGGACGAAGATAGAAATAATTAATTAGAAACAGGACGGAGATTGAGGTCCCGGCCACATTCCCATTGCCTATAGGTGTGAAATTGACAATTTACTCTAAAAATTAAATGATGTGAGGGTAATTCATCATTTTTGTCCCTCTAATATTTTGATTTTTGTCCTCTACAATTAATTTATTACAAAAAGCTTTAAGGTAATGTTTTTGTTTCCATTTCATCCTTACATCATTAATTCACCTTTAAAATGAATCATGTGCCATATACACATTATTTTCTCTTTTCATCTTAAATGATACATTGGTTCTCTTTCTCACACGCAAATTTGTCCATGCTTAAGACGATGATGGCAATAGTGACTTTGTTGAATGGAAGAAGACAACAATGGTGGACGTACTTAAGGCGATTAAGAAGACGATGATGCGCCCTTTCGTGGATCATGTTCATACCTCACACTCTTGATGATTCATTGATCTGTTTGTGCTAATGTGTTGATTCCATCCCTCTCTTCTTTGCTACTTGAAATCCCAAAACCCTAAATTCAATAATGATTTACAAAGAACATGTCAGAGATAGGATGTTCAGTAAAGAACATTGGGTCAATGACAAATAATAAGTCATCCCAAGATGGCACAATCATCCACGACGCACTTCCCCCTCCTTAAAAAAACCCATTTTTAGGGTTTAGTATTTCTCGGGATTGTATTAACTTTTATGAATCCACTTTTGGATTTATTGGAATCTTCCATTTGGTGATGGGTTTCGGTTTACATTAAAATGTTAGTTTTTTGTATGGTTGTAATCTGAAATGCATTCTTGTTTTATGTATTTCTCATTTTGATTCTACAATATTCATGATGGATATACAATTATATATGTTGGATATGTTTTCTTCTCCTTCTTGATTAACATTGGACTAAACTTTGATAACTCTAGAAATCATCCTCTTGCTTGTCATTTTGCTCTGAAAGTGGTCCCTGATAACTAATTTCGTTAAAGTAGGGGTATTTTTGTCTTTTCATTTACTTCCCACCATCAAAAATTTCACTTTAAAGAAAAGATTTCATTAAGGGGCTGTTTACCCAAATACTTACTCGGTAAACGCTTACCGGTAGGAGTCAACACTATAATCTATTTTACCAGATAAGATTGTAGTATATTAAAACGGTATCATATGCAACAATTTACCCAGTTAACGCTTACCCATGTAAGAGTCATCACCATCACTTACCGGATAAGACTCTCTATCCCTATCATCGTTCTTACCAGGTAAAATTTTCAAAGTTACCCGATCTACATTTACCGGATAAGTATTTAGTAAACGGCCTATAAACTTCAGAGACCAAATTAGAGTTAACTCTAAACAAATGGTTGGAACTAAAACAATAAAACACAAGCACTAAAACTATAATTAATTGATAATTTTGAAGTAGTATAAAAATCCAATAATTCAGAATCTGTTATATATATGAATTAAATCTGGATGATCCTGGAGGCGGTCCCACATATCCATGCATTAGATCTGTGCTTAATGTTGAAGAGATGGTCCAAATTACCCTCCCAAGATGGACCTTTTATCAATGCCATTGCTATTTGCACAAACACACAGCGGCGTTGAACTTGTTGGCCTTTCACCTTTGACTTCGTCTCCTTCTGGGTCTGGCATACAAAACATTCAACCGACCTCCATTCTTAATAAGTTTCAATTATAACATTAAATACTAGCCTTCAATTTGAAAGTGACCTCAACAATCAGGACAATCTTGTCATTTCACTTCAATCTGGTGGACTGGATTCCATCTTCTAACCTTTACCTTCTTTATATGCTTCATTTGTCATCCCCCATCCCCCCCTCTCCTTCATTACTTATACCCTCTTCAAACCTCTCTCCACCACCACCACCACCACCACCACCACCACCCTTTACAGAGATGGAAGCATTACCAAGGTCAGAAGTGTCATTTAGAAGATCAGGATCATCAGGGCTTGTTTGGGATGATAAATTGTTATCAGGAGAACTTAAGCCATCCAATCCAAAAGATGACGAAGAAAGAGAGAAAAAAGAGCAACAAAGATCAGAGCCAAGGCCATATAAATCTGTAGAAGTTGAACCCACTATTGACCCTCCATCTCCAAAGATATCTGGTTGTGGTTCCATCTGTGGAATCTTCGGGAAGCCTGTTAAAAACACCGCCACCGCCACCGCCGGCGCCGGCCACAAACAGAAAACTAGAGCCACCCATTAATCATCATCACCTTGAGGAATTCTTGAGTTTGGTTTTTGGTTGCCAAGCAGAGCCTTAATTTGCTACTTGGATTGGATGTTTGTGGGTCAATTTTTTCTTTCCCTTTTTCATACTTTTTGGGCTTAGTTTTACGGGATGCATCTCTCTATATATCTCTATGTCTATATCTATATATATATATACACACATATATATAGAATTTAGGGCATAGCAAAAGTCTTGTTCTGTGTTCATGGGATGGTCTCTTATGATGTGAGGTTATAGTCTTTGTGTTTTTCTTGATGTAATTGTTTGTGTATACAATTCTTTCTTCTCTCCAATTTCTGGGTGTGTCAAAGATTTCTTGTATAAAGAATCCCTAATTTCTATCTTCATGCATTACAGAGTTGTACCTTGGAATGAATCACCATCATTGATAATATCACTATGTTCTGTTCTTTCTTTCCTCTCCACTTTCTTGGTAGGTATCCCCAATTCCTATCCTTATGCATTAGAAGGTTGTACCTTATGTAAATCATCAAGATCTTTGCTTTTTTCTTCCTTTAATTTGTGGGGGTTCAAAGATTTGATCCAACAAAGAATCCTCTGTTCCTATCTTTATGCATTGATGGTTGTACCTTATGAATCATCACAATCTTTGCCTTTTGTTTTCTATAATTTATGGGTGTTCAAAGATTTTATGCATCAAAGATTGTACCTTATGAATCATCACAATCTTTGCCTTTTGTTTTCTATAATTTATGGGTGTTCAAAGATTTTATGCATCAAAGATTGTACCTTATGAATCATCATCTTCCTCCTTTCCTTCCTCCCTCCCTCCAACTTCTGTATGTTGGTGCATTAGAAGGTTGTACCTTGCAATGAAATCATGGTCAATGACAATGCAAGCGCTAGCAGCATCTTTGCCTGTTCTTGGGTATGTTTGTGTTGACAAACCAAATCAAAGTGTCATCTTTGTTGCACATGGTACAAGTCTCTAAAGCATAGTACAAGTGTTGGTGCAACAAGGTACAAGTTTTTATGCAGGATGGGTGTATTTGGGTGGGCATGGAAATGGATGATGTGCTATAATTTGATAAAGACAATAGAGGTTTCAAAAAAGATGGCTACTTTGTTAAATTAATAATTATTTTGATGACAATTGCATGTGATGTGATGGTGTAACGTTTTGCTTTTTTATCATGCCACAATTATATATATCTTGATTGCACCAAGTTCATATGGTTATGATGGCATCCACACACACCCTTAATGTACAAGCAATTGATGCACATGGTACAACACTTTATAAATCCTTATTTGTGACCCATTTTGAAAATATGTGATTGCTTTCTTGGTATTTAAATAATCATGAAAAAAACCCATGTCTAAGAAAACCTTTACAAGGCTCAAAAGAATCATTAACTAAGGTGTCGTGTACCGAATGATTATCCGAGTAAGCTGGTATCTATAAGAGTTATCATGATTACTTATTTTATGGGGTAATATTTTTTATCATTAAAATGGATTGTTGGTAAACGATAATCAGGTAAAAGTGTTCTCCCTCATTTATCAGGTAATATCATCGATTCTTGTTATGTTTTTTGTCGGGTAAGATTATTGATCTTTGTCATACTCACCCGATAAGCTAAGAGACCGTTTACCAAAAACTTATTAGGTAAGTGCTTACCAACAAGAGTATCGCCTTCACTAACCTTATGACGTAACATTCTTGACCATCAAATTTGATTGTTGGTAAATGTCTTTTATTCGGTAAACGTCTACTCCCATAATTGCTGGGTAAAATCATAGGTCTTCGCTATACATTTTACAGGATAAGTCCAGACTCTTGTTATGTTCACACGAAGGATAAGTGACATCTAGTAAGCATTTGGTGTACGTCCCATAAATCTAAGATTTGCTTATCATGATTGATTTATGTTGAAATCTATGGGGTGTTTGCGGTGTGGTTTATTGTGGTCTACAGCCAAACTACAAACCAAACCGCGTTGTTTGAACATTTTTCCAAACCTCAAATCGCACCGCAAAATGGGGTGCTTGCAGTTTATGCGGTTTGTATTTATTGCACTTTATACCTACAATCCAATAATTATAAGTTCAAAAATACATTATAAAATCAACGATAATGTGACCGTAGTCCAAAAAAATAAAAAGTTCCAATACATCTGATTCCTAAATACATATTACAAATAAACTTCAAACTAAATTGGACGTATAAGCTGTGATGTGTCCAACTAATTTATTAATATTGATAATTTTTATATTGAATAAAACACAAAGTCCAAAAACATTATATAAATAATAAATTTATATACATATATATGTGTGTAATATATAAAATAATAATTAATTAATATATAAAATAATAATTATTGGTTAAGTAATATCTGTGTTTAATTAACAAATTTTGGTTGTTACAACAATATTGATTTATAGAGTTATAATTGTATATCATTTTATGGTGCATTCAATATAAAAAAGGTAAATTTTAAATTTAATAATTTACCTTTTTTAAGAGTAATAATTGCATTTCTTTTTTGTTGTTGAAATTAAGAAAATGTGAATTTGAAAAAATGCCAATCATTTGCTTATTTATTCTACTTGGTGTTCTAACTAACAACTTGTGCCTTAAAAAATATGTAAAATAGAATATAATTGTGAAAGATATAATAAATTAATTTAAATGGACATAAATTACTTGTCCGTATTTAACAACTTGTATAGCTTTGATTTCGTCACCAAACACTCCAAGCCAAAATCTTCCCATTATTTTCTCCTCTTATATTATTTTATTTATCAATCATTTTATATATATATATATATATATAGGTCATTCAATAAAGAACTGATTAGTTTGTGGTAACTGTGAGATCCAATCTCAACCACAAATTAATGGTTAAATCAAGAAATTAATAATTTTGAAAATTTTAAATTAAAATATTAATTAAAGGCATTTTAGTCATTCTAAATTTTTTCTCCCTCATCTCTTCTCTCTCCTCTCTCCACTCAACTCTCTTCGTCAAACACGTCCTCTTTCCAACGAACATCATATCAACACATGATGCACACTGTGATACGCTTCATAAAATAACGAAAAAACATAGTGTGATACACTTGGTAAGAAAACATTACCTGATATATTGTGTTACACTTTGTAAAACAACAAAAATATATTGTGATACACTTCATATAACGACAAAAATACATTGTGATACACACTATGATACCAGATATGGTTGATGAATACAACTATGATACCACTATGTTACCACTGTGATACCCAATAAGTTTTAACAGTAAAAAATTATATATTTATTTTCTCAATTGTAACTTTATAGAAAGAAACTTTCATAATTTGTTTAATTAATAAGGAAACAGTATCAATCTCTTTGATTGATAACCATTAAAAAAAAATTAATAAAATTACTGATACACCCTTTTTCTTAATTAAGGTAATACAATTAATATAATAAAATAATTGGCTCATATTGAACCTCACAGTTACTACAAACTAATTCTTATTTGATTAGGCCTCTATATATATATAAAGATTTTAAATGAAAACTCATTTTCATTGTAAACATGACGATAAATCTTGAATCTTGGTTACCGATCAAAATTTAGAAAACTTATCAATGATTAAAACATAAAAAAGTTAATTAAAAAATGATTAATGACAAAAATGGAAGTTAGAATACCCCTACCAAGTTTGATTTTTTATTTTATTTTAATTAAAAAACTTTTAGCCTCTTAATTTTTAAAATTAAATTATTTTAAAAATAATTAATATTTTAATTAAAAAGATTATATCAAAAAATCGAACTTTTCGATCTTTTCGATTTGACATCCATCTCGATATAGTTTTTTTATTATGTTTTTTATGTCAAATATTATATCTGTGTAATATTCATTCTGAATATTAACGCACGTTCATATGTTTACAGCGACTCTTTAATATTCATATATTAGTATGATATTCATCATGAATATACAACTTACTATAATATTCATCATGAATAGTTATGTATTTTCACGTGTATTCAACAAATATTCAGCAAGTCATCACAATGACATTCATCATCAATATACATCTTCATTATAATATTCATCATTAATATAAATAGTATTCAACCCGAATATACGTTTCCTTTATAACATTTATCATGAATATATATATATACACACACACACACACTACATTAATAAACATTTAGATCAAAAGTCTTAATTACAAGTTTTAAAGCATAAAGTACTATCAATTTATGCAAGAGATTCAAAAATCTCTTAACTACAAACTATTATGCATAATGTACAAATGGTTAAAACGTGTCATTTGTTTGGTCAAAGTTTTAGATTTAAGTTAAGTCATATTTTTCAACGTTCATACGTCAGTATGATATTTGTCATGAATATACATTGTCACTGTAACATTCATTATGAACATACATACTATTTATCATGAATATTATATGTATGATCACATGTATTACAATAACTCACTAGTATTTATATTAGTATGATATTTATCATAAATCTTAATTTTCACCATAACATTTAATTATCATGCATATACATATTATTCATCATGAATATACTAGTTTCAACTCTACATACTTTAGTTTTTTTTATTGGGTTTTCAATTGATCTGAATGATTTCCCGGCTCGTCTCGATAGATTTTCCGATAAATCTCGATAAAAATTAAAAATGGTAGGTTATGTATTATCACATTTACCACACGTGCTAATGCATAAGAAGGGACTTGGTGGCATGCAGATGACTTGACTCACAACCTAGGTCACTCCAAAAATTGTTCGCATCTCTGATTTAGTATCACACATGTATCATATGTGATGAATTATAGTTTCATATCGAGAACATGGTTATCACATGTGATAATACACGCGAAGGCCTAGTGATGTGTGAGCGACTTGGCCAGCAACCTAGGTCGCACCAATGGTTATCCACGTTTGTGACTTAATATCAGATATAGTATCACATGTGATATATATAGTCATTTCAAATTAAAAAGATTAATAAAGTATGTTTTAAAAATGTTTGATTAATACGTTTTCTATTTATATTTACAAAGTTATAGTAATAGAGTTTCTAAACTTGTAAAAATCGACATATTATGTGCATTATTTCATATAATAAAGTTGAAGTTATAAGAGAAACGCCACCGATAAAAGTTGAAACAACGACGGATGATGATATAATCGATTCCAACAATTTCTTGTTTGTTATGGACAAATCAAGAATTAAGAAAAGCACACTTCACACTTCAAAATGCTTTAATTGATCATATATAGGAAAAATCCTATAACTATAATGTTTAAACGCATATGTATTAGTTTTTTGGTTTTATTTCATAATGCAACTTATTATTTAACGGAATGTTTATTTTGATAATAACGTAATTGAGTTCATGACCCGTTATGAA